CCCCCCCCCCACCATAATCATCAATCAAACGCAGAGCGTCTGTGTGACGTGAACCTGTGGAAGCAATGAGCAAAAAGAGATCATCATGTAGATGAATGTCCAGAGGGACGTTATTAACACATCATCAATCAAACGAAGCAATGAGCAAAAAGAGATCATCATGACTGAATTGGTGTGTGCGCAAATGAGGCGAATCATGTGTGCGCATTTGAGTTTGGGGTAACATGGGTTGTTTAAAGAGGAATGTAATCGATGTGTGCGGATTTGAGGGGAATCATGTGTGCGCATTTGAGGTAAATATATAAAAAAAAGTCTGTGTGCGGATTTGAGGGGAATTATGTGTGCGGAAATGAGGCGCCATCCCAGTCGGTCTTCGTCGAGGCACCATATATGTGTTGTGGGCCCCAACAGCTTTTTACATTGGCAGGACTTGGTCGCGGACGTGAACAAGAAGTATGAAGAGCGTCGTGGCAAGAAGGCGCTATATATATGGTATCTGTATACATTACATCCCCTTTGCAGTGGTTTGGGCACACTCCTGCAAGATTAATAGACACTGACATTGGAATAACATTCTCCAAAAAAGCCTTGCAAAACCGAAAACATCTTAAGCTGGATACCCTGGAATGGTGCCCATGGCAAAACCGTTCATGGCTCTTGGTTCTTGTCATTGCCAGGCTGGAAGCTCTGGATCGATTGTAGAAGATGATCCTGACGCCTACGATGAGGAGGGTGACAATGAGCACGCTGAGGACAATGGGGATGGGGCCAGCCAGGCCCCTGACCATCCTCCTGCTCCAGCTGAGCCCACCCCACTTCCGCCACCATCGGCAGAGTCTCCTTCGCCGCCAGCGCCAGCAACTGCGCCAAGCCTTCCTGCAGTGCCTGCCGAGACCAGATCATTGGATGCACTATGTTCTTTCACATTTCTCAATCCGATATGCACTTGTAGACATGGTGCCCCGATCCCTTTCTTGGGTTTAAGTTAATTTTGCAGTCGCTTGGAGATCTCAATGTGAACATTCATTCGGCCTTGACTGAAGCTGTGCGAATAACATATTGAGAAAAATTGAGTAGGTTTTTCACAAAAACAATTGAGGCCCTCCAGCATCCGCTGAGTTGGCACTTGAGTTGGCTTCAGCAGTGGAGGTGACTGACAAGACCCTCCACACAGTGATGGGCAATCTGGGGAGGGCTAAGGAGCAGCTCCAACTGCCTGGGTCTTAGTTGGTGAGTGTGAACGCCTGACATGAAAGATGTTGCGTTATATTATCTGTTTTTTCACCAGGTTCAATGCAAGTGGAAGTTTGTGCCTTGCAATGCCATGTGCACTTTTAAAGGGACACAAAATATGTTTTCTCAGGACCTAACATGTCGAGGGCCCCTCAAGACAGCAGTCGCTTTCCGTTGATCAAGCCACCAACTGCTTTTCAGCCAAGCCCTGTTTGCAAGGTTGCGGGAAAAGAAGGCGCGCTTGAGCGAACAGATCCGGCGCTTGAAGGCGACTGACATGGACGCTCCCGCTCCTGTAGCTTCATCAGGAGTGCGCATTCTACAGAGGCTCATATATAAGAACTGTTGATGGGTATCGAAACGCAAAGATCGATATCACTTAGACTTGTGAACTTTTGGGGTGTCCACGTGGAACCACCACAGTCTCAATTTAGAAGGTTTTGTTCACCTCTGTCTTTGTGGCAGTGTGGGCAGGAGTGCGAGCACCTGAAGCTATGCCAGCTGCCCCTGACCATGTGGAAACCCAGGTTGTTGACTTGATGGCAGTGGATGTCACAAACCTTCCTGAATCTCAGGAGCCCTCCACTTCACCCAAGGTGCCCAGTGATGAGTTGAGATCCCGCTATCAGAGCAAGGGCGAGAAACCGAACCAGGACGAGCCCTTGCCTCCAGCCACTGCTTTGCCCTTCGAGCCGCCTGCAACTGATGCCGAGGCAATGTATGGGGCTATGAAAGATTGGTTAATTGTCTCGTGGGTTTGTAGGGTGTGGAGGGCCTATATTGAATGCACTTTTTGAAGCGCCTGTCTGGTAAAAAAAAATTGTCTGAAAAGGGTACCTTCAGAAGCGTATAGCAGTCTATATATATATATGTCTGTTTAGCCTTTGGCGCATAAACCCCCTTCAGACCCACTATACCAAGAAAGGCCAAGAGACCCTAAAAGGCAATTTTTGGGCGCGACCTTTTAACATGGTTTAGCAGTTTTTTTATAGACATAAGAAAGGTCGCGTCCAAAAATTGCCTTGTATAGGGTCTGTTGGCTCATGTTGGTAGGCCACATATATATATATACATATATACATGTACGTTTCTTTTCATCGCAGCTCCGAGGTGTATATGTGTGTGTTGTACATACTGGCGAGCGCAACCTATATACGCAAGCACTGACATATACAGGTCCCTGTCTTTCCAGTCCGCTGACAGGCTGCCAAGCCCACAGTCATTGAGAAGGAGGACGAAATCCTTTTGAGGAACGATCAGCTCACCCGGAAAGCCACCAACAAGGCCAAGGGCAAGAGGGGGCAAAAGCCAAAGAAGGGCAGGAAGGGAAAGAAGGGGAAGAAGGGAAAGAAGGGAAAGAAGCAATGTGCTGAGTCACCAGGGAAGCCGTCTAGTGGCTTGGGCAAGTCTCAGCGGAGGAGAAAGACTTTGAAGGTGGCTGCCGCTGGTGCGGCTGATTCCCTGGAGACAGGCCCCAAGTCCTTTGAAGCCTCTGGCCACTCAGTTGAGAAGGCCAAGAGCGCCAAGCGCAAGAGGGGTGCAAATCTGGGGGAGGAAGAGGTGAGTGGAACTACGGGCAGATCCAAAGCCGCCAAGGCCAAGGGCAAGGCTAGCCCAAAAGCCAAGGCCAGTCCAAAAGCCAAGACCAAGGCTAAGGCTAGCCCAAAAGCCAAGTCAACTCAGCCTCGTAAACCGAGGGCAAAGGCTGAGCCCAAATCCAAGTCCAAGAAGGCAAGAGCTGCTGAAGTCCAGGAGAGGGTGCATCAGGTTATGTTTGATGAAGAGGTTTGCGAGCAGCTTCTCAGCTTTGTCAAATACTTCGAGGCCGAAGAGGTTCCAACAAAGCAGTACTTCAAGTTACGCATGCGCTCTTTGGTCGAGAACATCACGCCCTACCCGCTCAACATCTACTGGACGAGGGCTAGCTGCGGAGTCACGTGCAAAGAGACTGGGAAAGATGTCCACACATTTTCCTTCAACGGCTCTCTTGCGCCAGCTGCTCATCGGCTTGCAGTGTCAGTCAAGGTCGCGGAGATCGTGGTAGCTCGTTCTACTACCAAGTCTTTCCTTTGATAAACAAAGTCTTCTTCATTAATGGTTTGGGCTGGAATGTGCGCGTATTGTGCTTATATATGTATACACTTCGCTATCAAAGCGTGGCGTATTGCCAATCCATGATGCACTGCCAAAACCATGTGGATACCTTTTCTTTCTTTATTTGTCTGGCACCTCAGGCATTCAACTTGGCCAATGATCCAGAGGATCCAGCCTTCGCAAGCAAGGAGAGCTCAGGGATTGCTTGTCTGAAGTACAATGCTGAGCATGTCCTGAGCAAGCTTCTGCAGCCGCAGGGGTGATGCGAGGGTGATGTGGAATGGCCACTTTTTGGTCTTATACAAATCTCATTAGTCTCATTATAGTAGCTTGATCGAGCTTGATCATTCGGGGGTGGCTCGCTGTATAGCTTAGACTGTGATCCGCCAATGCCCGGTGTTTTGCACAGCAGGGCTTCATAAAAACGACTTTGGTTGTGTTTGGTTGAAACGGGTTGAATTGATATCAAATAGATGGCATCACTTTCATGCAGGGGCCAGCGTGGCGTCGCACAGCTATACTTGAGCTCACTTGTCGGGGTCCCATCTAGAGTTGATGGCTGAGCATTGCCAAGCCGGCGCACAAGTGCAAAAAGAATGCACAGCAACCTTCTCCCTACAAAGTCAAGCCAGCAGATTGTTTGCCTTGTCCTGATGGAGGTTGTCAAGCGCACCCATTTGAGCAAACATGCAAAAGGGTCAATGAACCCAAACGCCCGTACAAACCCCTATACTCGTGATCCACTTCCGTGATGCGTTTCCTGCCACAGGCCTTCAGAAAGCGATGGCGAAATCTTTGGCGCGCAATGCCTGGAAGGTGCGTTCCAAGTTTGTCCGTGGGAAGCGGAGAGCACGACCTACTGGCATGATTACTGTGACTTGAAGAAAGGGTTTGCTGAATCGTGCACAAACCTCGAAGACCAAACGCTCAAAACTCAGCACAATTATGTAGTGCAATGATCCAAACTCCAAAGGACCGCCATCAACACTGGCAATGAGTCACACTCTTGAAGAATATATTGTATATAAAGAAACAGCCTCGCTGCCCCATGTCTTTGATGTAAGTGCCTGTGTCAGAACCGTATATACAATATATGCGAACACTTTTTCTATACAGAGAGCGTCAGAGAGTCAACACGTCCGACTCGCCACATCCAGCCGCTATTTATATACAGGATCAGACTTAGATTCCGGGCTCGTTACTCTACCATGGAAGAGCCTTCTTCAGTGTTTGAGCTCGACTGCGCCTTCTACCAGCTGCAATGCATGCAGTGCCCGAAAGTCATTTGGCTTCAATTCCAAGCCAACACTTTCAAGTCATGTTCACTCTCGATCTATATGTATTGTATCTGGATATGTTGAAATCCGTCTTCAGCAAACCGAGATGGTAGAAGCAGTGTAGCGCGAATATATACACCAAAAAATGGACATGGTAAGGGATCAGTTTTTCTGTCTCTTGACCTCTCTTGGTATATAGGAAAGATGGAAGGAAAACAACTTGACGAGCCCTTCCTTCAATGGGTCGTGACTCATCACCTGCCATCACCCTTTCCGTCCGGGGCGTGCTGGCCTAGATCCTGGCCCTCATCATCATGATGATCATGTGGACGCCAACCTTGGACAAGCAGGACACGCTTGAGAGCCTTCATGGCAAGCAAAGGTGATATGTATATTGAAGGATAGTGTTTCCGATGCTGGTGACATGGTGCAGTCACATGGTCTCAAGACTCATAATCACACGTCTCCACCACCCCACATGATATATACCTATACAGCGCTGCCGTTTCTTTGGCCTCAGGACCTTGAGTGGCAAATGGTGGAATTCTTTGCTGGCAAAGGCAACCTGACCCGTGTATGAGGCTCAGTGGTGTCCTCGCTGCAGCTTTGGATGTAAAGTATGCAGCTTCCGCTGACCCATCCAAGCAATACAAATCCAATGCAATGGACATCAACAGCCCGTCTGGATTTTGGTATTTTGGCTGTGGTCATTTCTTGAGAACGCTCTTGCTATATAGGTTTTGAACCCAGAGCTTGGGATAGTCACTACAATATAAAGAATGGGCCATATCACTGAGCAACTGTATGGGCGCAAACACGTTCATTTGAATTTCGCCTGCAAGGGGGGTAGCTTTACATATATCGAATGAATCTTCTTGTTTGATGGGTCGCCCCATTGGTACCGCGTAACATCCCACCCGGTGTCTCCACTAAGTCTATGCCTGGTGACACTGTTCAACTGCCGGATGCACAAGTTCCTCGCAACTTTTGCGATGAAATGCAGCTCATTCACTCCGGTGAATGCGGGGACATCAGGGCGGTCAGCTTGCGCTTCACTTGGCAGGGAGGGAATTGAGAGTGTAGAAACATCCAACAAGTTGCTTTGTCGGAGTCTCATCGCATATACTATATATTTTTCTTTTAAACCAAATACTTTGGACCTTCATCGAAATGGTACATTTTCAAGGGGGTCGAAAACAACACTGAGCTATATATATATATATAATTGTTTGTTTATGCCAGTGTGTCAGAGTTCTTGGGGGTGAGCAACTGTCCTTGGAAAGCCTTTCGTGCACCAAACAACAAAACGCGTGATCTAAGGACTGTCTTCCTATGCATGGTTACCACATGCCTTGGAGGATGTTGGGTCTTGGAACAGCCAGGTGGTTCCTGCCTACAGTTTTTCCCTGCATGGAGAGACCTGTGTGCAAACCTCATGCGCGCTAGTGGGGCTGAAGCTGTCCTACCCTAAGAGTTTCTCACAAGGAATCGCTATATGGGTTGGTGTGACTTTGCTTGCCCGGTTCAACCCTTTTTGGCGCTCGGCCCAGGTGTGGCGAACCACGTGGCACATGTTCCACTACGGTGGAAAGACTCCAAAGCCACACTACGCCTATTCCAACTCGGAGTTCATTGGGCGGCTTTGGAAGGGGAAACTGACTGGGTGGAAGAAACGGGCCCTAGAGGACGGTCATGTTCAAACGTGCGAAGTTTACCAGAACAAGGATGGCAAGACTTGCTATAAAGGCACAAAGAGATTACGCAGCACAGAGATTCTCCACTGAAGTTGGTTATATGTACACGTTTCTATACTTCCAATTTATAAGTGTGTTTTTCAATCGTCTTGAAGGGTCAACACCTCCTGAGTGTCTCCAAGGGAATACCCGGAAATGTTCGGGATGGCCTTGGTGGACCTATACACTGACCTCACCGATTCACCTTGTGGCACGGCACGGCTCCCCAAGAGAGTCCCTCCAGCGCTCGAGTCCTTCAAGAAGATGCCAGACAGCCATGAGGGCCTGCGATTTGCAGCGCTGGGTGAAGTGTACAGCTACCTGCGGGGCAATAGACACCTCGTTATCCCAAGCGAATGGCGCCCTTTTGTTCCTAAAGCCCTGGGGGCCTGAAGGGGACCAACCCTTAATTAACATTAATTCTTTTTCTATTCAAGTTTCCGACAAACGCAGTACTCGGCCCTGGAAATCTCATCCCTGGTTCTGGCCCAGATGTCTTGTCGAAAGCTCTTTTGAGGTTTCCGACGCCAAATGATTGATTTTTAAGACTTTTGTGGTGAGAAAAGTTAGGTTCTATACAAAAAAACCGTATTTACCCGTACAAAACCCGTACTTTGGAAAATCTGTTAAAACCTCGGGTTTTAAAAACCCGTAATTAACCCGTACAAAACCCGTAATTAACCCATACAAACCCGTATTTAAAATATGGGTTTTTTGGGTTCCCGGCCTTCAGGGTTTTATATCGGATTCTTTGGTCCGATAGCGAATTAGCGAGCGTCGACACCGACTTAATTGGAGAAGAAATAGTTTGACTGCACGTATAGAAGTGTGTTTCGCAGTTTGATTCAATGCCAAACCGCGAGATGTCGATCAGTTCACGGGTCAAGCTTTCGAACCTCGCAGCTTTTGGGTTGGGTATACAGCTGGTGTGAGTCATCGAACTTACTTCGAACCAATGGCCCCTCACTGCTCCACTCGACACTGGAGCTGTTCTACACTTAATGATGGTGTTGATGCTTTGTTGGCGCAAGCAGACGCCGCTGAACAAGAAGAAGAAAAACTGAAGAAGCTAGTGCAGGACCGTGGTTTGTATACATGCAGGTTTCACGAAGGTTTGCCCCGCAATATTACGAAAGCCAGCCTTCGTAGAAGGCGCTAGCGGAGTTGTGTCTGGCGAACGAAGTGAGTAGTTAGGGGGTTTGGGGGGGTGGCCCGGGAAAGGTACACGTAAACTCGGCACATGCTGGGGGAGGAGGGTGCTTCGAGGGAAGGTTTTTTGAGGTTGTGTTGGAGGTGATTTTTGAAGGGTGGTGATGCAAGAAATGCCAAATGCATCATTTGCATCATCTGAATGGAAAGGTGTAGTTGGCAGATTGCAAGGTATAGAGACCCAGGGTAGCTATAGTGCAGCTACCAGGTATAGTACTTCAAGCTCCCTTTCCGTCAACCGCATGGCAAGGGATTTGTGGGGCTCGAAACGCTACTGTTTCGAGCCCCACAAATCGGGGAACTTGATTGATCTGTTCTAAAACGCCGATCATTGGATAATCTCTACTGGTTCTGTACCCGTCGGCCCTCCTTCTCCAGACTTGTAAAAATTCATAGTACACGAAGTGTACTTGGGTGGACGCATGCGGCCTGGTGCTCGCATGGCAAGGGGTTTGTGGGGCTCGAAACGCAGGGGTTTCGAGCCCCACAAATTGAGGAACTTGGTTGTAGCGGTTTTTGTCCATGGCGATACTAGGCCTTGCAGCAATGCCTCTTCTCTGCTTGCTTCGACGCGCAGTTGTCGAAAAGGGGAAGCGCTGGCTTTCGTTTTGCAGCTTCTCAGGTGATCTGTTTGTTTTCACTGCACATGGGTGATGTCAGTCGCCTAGTGCTGCAGGAAATGGAACAGAAGTTGCAGCTGGTGCAATCTTCAACTTTGAACCCCGTTCCACCCGTAGCTTGTCTTCGGAGACATATGCCAAGACAGGTCAAGAGGACACAAAACTGAAGCAGATCGACGGTAAGAATTTTGTGTCCGCTTGACCTTTGTTGGTGGGCCATGGGGTTGACCCTGGGGCCATACAAGCGGTGTGCTTTTTAAGCTTCGATCGGCTCCTTAGGCGGCTTCACCACTTGCGCCTACCCCTGAGCAGCCTGCCAGCGCTGAGCCTGCACCACATGAAGTTGAGACGTTGCCAGCACCTTGGTGCACACAGACACCGGCCAAAGTAGCTGGGATCCAAAATGGGTGTGAACACATGTGAGGGTCCTGAATTGTTTGAGGCACCTATAATGGTTTATATTTGCAATCGCATTCTTGGGATTTTTTGGTGTAGCTATAGTGTATACATGGGCATGGTAGATCTATAGCAAAGTTGCACCAAGACTGTGTGCTGCAAGACCTATAACCTTAGGCCACAGAAGAAGAGCTTCGCCTATCAGCTGCCACTGGTTCAGCGGTGCCATCTGGTGGAGATGACGCAAGCCAGGCCTCTATTTAATATGCAGAGCTGGAAAAATCTTTGCAAACAAACGGACAAGCGGATGCATGTTGACGGAACTGCCGCATCTATGTATACTGTAAATACAAGAGGCAACATATATAGGTACAAACAGGCGCCAACCTTTCTTTTGCAGGTGAAGGATCTTCCTTAATTGCGTGATGTCACCTCCATGATTTGAGGGGGTCAAACATTGAGGAGAGCAATGTATATTGCATGGTCTCACAAGACTTATACATGCTCTTGTGTACAGACCCATGAAATTTTCAGGAACAACTTATGTGCATGCACAGAGTATGGCATACAATGTCGGATGGTTTGCGCCAGGCCCTAGTTCCAGCTGCTGTGGCATCTGTGTCTGTGCCGCTACCTGCCCCTACTCAACCGGAGGTGGCTCCTACTCAGGTCCAATCTCCACCTGGAGATGCAGCCGTTGATGTGGACCCCACTGCTCAGGTCCAACCCAAATCACTGGAGACACCTGACACCCCACAAGGCAAGCGGCAGCCAACGCGCCAGGCCAGGGCAATGCCTCGCCATATGTTTAGAGTGGGTGTGTTGATGATCTTGGGGTTGATTGAACCTCGACCAGTCTGGCCTCTTTTTCGACGCTATAGTCCAAACCCTTCTGATTTGAGAGGAGCGTTTGCGAGCTGCTGCTAAAGCTCGACTTCGTCGTCTTTGCCAAGAGAAGAAGAAGCGCAAGAACATGGAAGTGCCCAAGTGGGTGAGGGACGAGTATGAGACCCGCTGCAAGAATGATTTGGCCCAACTCTTGATGAACTGCAACTTTAATAAGGATTGGATTCAAAAGCCTGTTATGAGCTCTTTGCTCACTGGCGCTTTCCTTACTTGCTTCCGTTGCCCCCTTCCCCTATATAGGACAAATTCATCGTTGAGCTCGAGATTGTGGTGCGCAAACGGAAAACCATCAAGATCACTGTGGATGAGCAGTGGGTTTCGGAGAAGGAGATGCGGGATGAGCTCAAGTGGAGCCCGCCCTTCAGCTGAAAGAATGTTCACCCCGCACACATGTTTTTAAGATACATGGGACAAACAACTTCCACGCAGACAAAATAACGCTGTCCTGCAACCACACAATCCCCCGGCCTCGAAGCCGAGGGCGAGGATCGCAGGTGCGAAACGGGCCTGTGAGGCCAAAAGGGCTACACATATGAGGCCAGCATGTTGCGCGATGTGGATTCAGCTGAATCGTCATCATATCTTCCCAAATCTGTGCGGTTTTTTCATAATATACCTGCAATGTGTTTGGAAATGGTTACGCGCGCAACCGTCTCAAATCTGACAGGAAGAATTGCTATGATGGCGTGGATGAATACTACGTTGTGATTCGAGAGACAGGCCAGCGTGCAGAGGAGGAGTCCCAAGAAGAGATCAAAAAGAGGTCTGGCGGCTTGGAGGCCTTTGGGGTAGGGGCCATCCTCTTTTCACGCAACCCGTAGCATGAAAGATTGCCAGTTGATGCATGGGGTGGCATTGTCATTATATACAATATATAGTGATGTTCCTTGGTGCCCCTGTCCAATCTTCAGCTCCCCTCCTCAACCGCAGGAATCCCAGGCTCCGGCCATTGCTGATGGTGCCTTTGATGGCCTGGCCGACATGGCTGCAAGGCAAGCCGCTGATGCAGCCGTGAAGGAAAAGCCGGAACAGAATGCCAATTCCCAGATTCAGGAGGCTTGATTTGTTCAAACCTGTTTATTTAGCATTCACCTTTGGGAGAACTCTGAGGTTTGGGTTGGAAGATGTTGGAAGTCTTGCTCAAGGCGTCAAATTTATATACATGTGCAGGCAAGTGCACAGTGCCAACGATGGTTGATCAAACCCTGTCAGACCAAGACTACCTTGAGAAAGTACCTGGATAGCCTTCTTCAGAAGTCTGGAAAGATTCGTGGGCTTATCAGGGACATCAAGCAAGACTACAAGAACTGCCCAACGCTGCAATCGCAAGATCCTTATATGTACACAACTGTTTCCATGATTCACCCAGGATGCATGACATCCAAGAACCGAGAACCCCTTGTCAATGGCTTACGTGGCTTACGAATATGTGTCCCGCGTCTCAACTCAGGCATGTGGTGAAATTGGAAACTCAGCTCACCAAGATGGATGAGCAGTATGACCTTTGCAACGGGGCGATGGCTCAGGGAGAGGTCCATGGATATAATGCTAAGTTTCCTGGCTGCCCTTTCTCGATAGAATTGCCAGCAACATTCTTGCAGTCTCTACCTCAAAAAAGTCCACTTAATTGAACTAAGATTTGTAGATGACGCCAATGCCAAGATGAAAGCAGCCACCCTTGTGTCCTGACCTAAGTTTGAAGGCAAGCCAGTTTTTGGGCCATTAGATTCCTCGGCCACCAAAATCCGATCTCGCAGGTGCAGTGCGGCTTGTGCCTTGGAGATGAAGACTCGGAGCCTCGGTGAGCGAGCGCTTTGGTCAGGTCATATATTGATTTTCACACATGTTCAAGCACACATGGCCGGTACCGGAAGCCTATCTTATATATCATCCCGGCCCAGGAATGCCAAGAAGTACGAGAAGAAGGATATGGATGGTGGCGCTGATGCCGCTGATAAAAGGGCTAAGGGTCGGGACACTGCCAAACCCGAGTCATCTGGATCGAGAGCAGCCCCGAAGCGGGCCAAAGCTGAAGAAGAGACTCCAGGAACTGTCCCGCCCAAGCCCAAGGGGTCTAAAAGGCCCAGGAAGGCCAAGTAAGTGCGTTGGCTCGATCATTTTGGCAGCATTGAACTCCACTTGTGGGAAGCCTGATTTTCAGGATAGAACCTACATCTGTGGCAATGCAGTGATTTCGCAAACATGGTTCATCGTGTGACATGGTGATGCCCAATCGTGTTGCAGGACCTCTTCCAGAGAATGTTTCCTTCATCCTTCAACGTGTGTGTTTCTGTTCAATGGGGTTTGGAAGAGTGTCCTGCCCTGACACGTGCTTGGACGCACCTTCAATCCAAAGTCCGATGGGGTAGCGGGTGATGTGAAAACATTGGGGTTGCCCGCTTGCCGCTACAGAAAATACACATGTGGCAGCTATGACAAGTCCCAAGCTTTGAACCCCAGTTCATACATCTTTGCAGTTTTCAGGTATGTCATGGGTTCAACCCTATATATTTATATATGACCATGATCCCACCACGACGTTGCCCGTGCCACGTGCCGGACATGCTCTTCAAGCCTTTGCCGCGGATGTTGGTCAGGGAGCCTGGGAGCTCAGGTGGCTGGCAAGGGGTCAGAACGCATTGACATCTCTCGAAAACTCCCGCAGTCTGTTTATGCCTCAAAGTCACTGTGACCGGTTTTACAGAACATTACAAACCATGCGCGTGAGACCCGGTTTACCCTGAACCCACGACGCCAACACTCCATATCTGTTCAGTTTGAAGTGAGTTCGGACTGCAACAAAGATCAATGCAAGTTCAATTGTCCGCAGCAATGGCGGTAGCAATGAGCGAGGAATCTGTTGAGGATGAACTTATGGACCTGTTGTCCTGTCATCGTTCAGCCTCTTGGAAGAAAGTGGGTTCGGCGAGTTTGCATGTGTTATCATGTCCTGGGAACACTGTGAACTCAAATAAGGAGGATGTGGAGCCCTATGCTTGGAGACACAGCTTGGGTGCCGGACAGACTGTGGAACACCATCCCACTCACCTGGCCGCAGTGGTGAGGGCAGGTGGGACCAATGCCAATGTTGTCCCCAGCCACTCCAGTGTCTTGACAACAACCCAATATGAATGCGTTGATCAAAATGGTGTAGATTTCCAAGCGAGGCTGCAAGACCTCCAATCCCAGGCGTCCACCGTAAGCTCCATCTCATTTTCACTACCGAAAGCCAATGCGCTTGCTGGTGCGGTGCTTCAACATTCCATCAACCTTCTGGAGCGGACTTTTGCAAAACATGACCCTATGATATTTAAGGTGGGGTATACTCACAACCCTATGTGGAGATGGAGCAACAGTCTCTATGGATATAGGCATGCGGTGGAGAAGTGGTCAAGCATGATCGTCTTCTATGCTTCTTCTGAGCCGTTTAGTCCGGCAATGCTGGAGTCAGCCCTGATTGAAAAGTATCAGGGCACTTTAGCTGCACTATATATATACGACGTTCTGTATTCAACAGATGGAATATCAGAAACGGATGATGACAACATTGTTTTCCAATGTTGCCAAACATATTCCCCTTCACTTGCGCGCGCGACGCAATATTGAGGTAAACCGGGCTGCCGGAATGTCCGGAAGGGCGGCGACACGGTGACAACAACTCTGAGCGGCATTTTCATGTGCTATGTAGTGTTTAGATCTTTCAAGTTCAAGCCTGTCTAGAGCCATATATGTCCTGTTTCAATGCACAGGTTTGAAATGATGTGCATTGCTCTTCAATTCATGCAGGGGTCACTCCCATGAGAGGGAAACACCAAATGTGTTCTTTCCAACACGTTCAAGGATTGCTTTGCTCCATGGCATGTTGAGAAATGGTGCGATGGACGTGTGTGATGTGTTTGCCAAGTTTGTGTGATGGAGGTATGCGTGCAAGAGTGAGAGCATACTCAACCATTCCATGCACTATAGCAGTTGTTGTGGCAAAGTTTGTGGCAATCATTTCGTGCTGGCTGTCCAACTAAGATGCATAATGTGGACCATACTCTTGCGCCGCCGTGCTGAGGCTTCATCCTGCAGAGCGGCCATCAGAGGTGCCCGCGGAGTGGTGCGTGATATCGGCGCAAAAGCCGCTGCAAAGAGCAAAGGGTTGAATGAGTTGGCCCGTTGCACTCCAGAGCACAGTGAGCGAGATTTTCAGAACGTAGCTGAACGGTTTCAGCTCCAGCTACCAGTGCCATTGACAAGTCTTGTGAAAACACCAGGGGTTCGCTATCAGGGCGACTTCCACGTCTTGTCATTGTGTGATTGGTTGAGGTTCCATGTAGACTTCAACACATTCCACATTCTGACGGGCTTACACCGCCCCAATCCTACACGGGAGCGGGATATTCTGCGTGAGTTCTGGAGGAGATATAGACTTCTTAAGCCACATCATCAACTTTGGCAAGTCGTTGAGGAACACAAGATTGACTTATCCCGCACCGCGCCCCTCCTTCTCCACGGAGATGAGGGGCGCGGGCGGAAGAAGGCGGCCTTCTTGGTCATGGCGTACCACAGCTACCTGGGCCGTGGCACTGATTCTGCAAACAAAACCAGGAAGGAAAAACCATATCTATCCTTCAGGCTGAACTACGGCGGAAACAGCCATACCCACAGAATGCTTACTGCGGTGCTTCCGAGGATGGTGCGCGACACTGTTGCATTTGATGACCTCCTGACATTTGTCAAAGCAGATGCTCTTCAAGCGCTGAAGGACGGCGTGGTTGCGAGCTCTGGCGAGAAGTACCATGCAGTGGTGCTGCAAGTTCTTGGGGACTGGATGTTCTTGGCAAAAGCCGGATCTTTAGCTAGATCGTTTGCGAACGTGGAGAAGAGGCCCCGGGCTGCAGCATCGCAGCCCAAAGGCATCTGCCACCTGTGCCAGGCAGGTCAACTTCGGGTGCCGTTTGAGGACTTGCGCCCAGAGCCAGGGTGGGCAAACACACTTTTCTTGGCAGGCGATGTGCCTTTCAATTCGCGCCCTGTCCTTCTGGATCTGCCTCACGAAATTGGTAAAAGCCCTGGCTTCTTTGCCTATGATGTTTGGCACGCGTTTCACCTTGGAGTTGGAAAGACGTTCACCGCGGCAGTTTTAGCCATGATCTCTCTGCAGATGCAAGGGTCCAACGTGGACCAGCGCTTTGCAGAATTGACGAAGTGCTACTTGGATTACTGCGAGTCTTCGCACTCCAGCCCCTTCCTCACCATCATCACGAATCAGACCTTGGGTTGGGGGGACTTGCAGACCTACCCCAATGGCCAATGGTCTAAGGGACACATAACAGTACTCATGATGGAGTTCATCGTTGACTGGTTTCTTAAGAATGGAACTGCGGGTGACCCCCTTTTTCCTTTGGCGGAGCAAGCGGCAAGGCACGTCAACGGCTTTATGAAGTCACTTTACTCATCCGATCTGTGGATTGAGAGCAGTCGTGCTATGCAAATTGCTCAAATGGGCTTTGCTTTTTTGGTGTCCTACATGCAGCTTGCAAAGCAGGCGTTTCAGGCTGGGAGATCGCTGTTCATATTCATGCCGAAAGTGCACGTTGTGCACCATGTAGTGCACAGCATGCAGCAGGACGCATGCGCTGCCCCAATGGTGCTCAACCCCCTATCACACGGGGTTCAGGTCGACGAGGACTATGTCGGGCGAATATCACGAATCTCTCGTCGAGTGTCGCCACAGCAAGCGATAACCCGGACATTACAAAGGGCTTTGAAGGCCTCGAGGTGGCACTATGTCCAGGAGGGCTACTTACGTGGTTGATGGCAGAAAAGGTGTGGGGAGCATTGGGTGAGAGGCTGTGTGGTGTGAGGGGATGCATCTTGCCATGCCATCTTTACTGTGAACACGTTCTGAACATGTGTTTGCTGAATGTTTGCTGTTGTCAATTGAGGAACGCATTGGAAAACCAAGACATGTGATGAATCCAGAAATCATGAGTTTTTCAAAAGCCCGGCTTTGTCTGAAAAACCTCGTCTTTTTTCACTGACCCTACGAAATCATAGGTTGTTGGTTTTGCTGGTAGACTATCCTATAGGTACCCCTGGTGACGGGTCCTAGTTCAGGTCACTTAACCTCTGTAGGAAGGAAAGGCATTGAACATCGGACATCGACGGTGCGAGACCCGTCGTCGCTTGCGCACCTGCTTTAGATGGGCTCATCGTCTTCGCTGAAGCGGTCAAGCACCGACGAGTTTGTTTACACGCCATTCCTGTGTGCATCATCCAGAACACCATCAGTACTGCTCTGTCTAACCAGGTGGGTCGATATCAGACTTCCCCCCATCGACCGAGAGGCTTTCGGTGCTTTTTCTGCAAGCGGTCGATGAGTTGCTTGGAGATCTTGGGATCTACAGCATGATGTGCAGTGTAGAAGACCTCACGAGGTGTCACCAATCCGCCGCTACAGATGGAGGAGGGCGGCTCCCCTGTTCCCCTATGTAGGAAGCCAAACACCATTGAGCTCGCGAGTCTTGGAACCCAAAAGTGATGCCATCTTCTGCGGAGAAGCCAACCTTACCCTCCAAGGTGGCCAAATACGACCCAAAAGTTCATCGACACCTTTCGGAAGCGAAGGCACTTCGAAACATGTCGATCATTCTGACAGGAGCTCTGGACTGGACGTTTACGTCCTTCTTCCACTGGCTCACAGCTTTGCGTAGCTTGGAGGCCCTCGCTATAGTCGTAGCTTGGAGGCTATCGCATCCGGACCGAACCCCCGTCCCCGTCCGCACTGACCACTCCCAGCGGCCAGCGGCGCGCCCTGCGGGTGGAACACGGGGTCGGCCGCGATGGGCGGCGGCACCAGGGCGCCGCGCGGTCCACGGTCGCAGGCACTCGGTCCGTCCAAGAGGCGTTCGAACTCGCTGGGATCCATGACATCGTACTTACACCATTGCCTCTGGAGATGGGGAAAAGGGATGATCTGGTTCAAGAGATCTTGGGAAAGGAAGATTGAGAAGGAAGTTGGAATTGAATACAGTAATAAGATATAATAAGGAGAGGCCCATCATCCGCATGTGTCTACAAAAGGTTTCTGGGCAAATTGTTCATCGTTCACTGGCTTTTCAAAGCTCAAGAAGATGCACAACAATGGCTACAATGAGCTTCATCAACGACCAATGGGCCAGGCGACTTCCAGCCACCTTCTTCCCAGGTACCGATGTTCAGCAAGTCTTCATCCTGAGCTCAGGAGGCTATGGGGGCCGCTCTGTTTGGACCCCACGGTGGCCGGGTGGAGACCCACGGTAAAGCGCCGTCCCTCCCCCACGTCTGCCACGCGTCCACGCGTGGGGCGTGACGGATCGGAACCACCCATCTACAAACGTGTTGGCACGTGGACGAAAGGCCGGCCTTTCGCAACGCGGATGGGAAGGTCTTGTTCAAGAACTGACACGTACGTCACAGTCCTTTCCCTAGTAGTTTCTTGTTACTACTAGTAACAAGTGCCACGCTAGTAGTAACAGTAGTAGCAAGAAGCTAGTAGTAACAAATTAAAGTAATTTAACTTTAATTTAATAGCTTCTTGTTACTAGTAGTAAGGCACTTGTAACTTGTTACTACTAGCGTGGCACTTGTTTCTACTAGCTTCTTGTTACTAGTCTCCACAGGTTATGCACGGATTCTGCAAGCTTAGCATGAGCTTGTGGACTGTCATTCAGGACCACAGATGAAGGCGAAGCGGTCGACTTCGCCTAATTGAAGCTTCCAAAAGCACGCAAACCGCTATAGCCCTCTGACATGCCTTTTTAAGAGACCCTTGCCAACAGTCTCTACAAAAGAGCTGTCGAATGGCTTCGCTGTCGAAAGGAAAAGGATTGAGATGCAGAAACCTGAAAAGCACGGTGGCAAAGGCTTGGAGAGAGGTGAGAGACTGCAACAAAGATCCTTTTAACTTGTCCCAATAAACACGAAGCATTCTCAAAGAGCACGTTCCACGATTCTGCATGTTAAGTTCTGAGACACCTCCAAAAACTCCTCCCAACCTTCGCCCCAAAACCTTCGTGCGACGGCTTCTCACCCCAAGTCTCCACGTCGATGCTACTCACCCGCAGCGCCGGCACCGGACGACTGCGCCCGCGAGGCCCGCGCTCGTCCGCCGACGACGACGGCAGCGTCTCGTCGCGCAGATGCCGGCGGATCCAGCGCCCGAGGAAGGGCAGGGCCCAGAAGGTCCAGGTGGGATGTGCATGGCCCCAACCTGAAACGTAGAGGATCACCCAATCTGTGGGAGTAGTATAGTACAGTGTATATAATGAATTGTTATTTATATACATGTGTTGATCGTCAGTGGTCGCGACTGTGCAGGGACTCTCATGCCCGAATGGCGGAAAAGGCCGCGCGGGGCGCGGTGCGGGGCTGCCAATATTGGTAGCGGAGCCAGGTTCATTCCTGGCTCCACCTGATTTTCCGGGCACGCTGGAAGTGTGCCGTTTCACGCGACTGTGCAGCGATGGAAGCGGGGACGTCACTGAGGTACTTCAGTGGCGACGACTGTGACCACAGGGAGTACCGCAGATGGAAGCAGTGGGCCTTGAACAAAATGAGAACGATGGACAAACTTCCCGAAGAGGCCCGTGGTTCTTTCATCTGGACCTTGCTATCAGGCAAAGCGCTGGAGGTGGTCGAGCATCTCAAAGAGTCTGACTACCAGGTCAAAGGGGGCGAAGCCGCCATCTTCAACCTCCTTGACCGGCGTTGGCCGGAGCTGGATAGGACCGACGAGATCGGCGAGAACATCGCTGAGGTCTTTGCCTTAAAGGCCAAAGAGGGTGAGTCGGTCCGGGTCTGGTGCGCAAGGGCCCGAGAATGCTTCGACAAGTGCGCCAGAAAGACTGGCGTCAAATTCCCCGATGAAGCTCGTGGCTGGATCCTGTTGAACTGCAGCGGCATGTCAGAAGAGCATCGTGCCGTATGTCTGGCGAGAGCTCAAGGTGATCTCAAATTTGATCAACTGGCCCAGGCTATGAGATCGTGCTTTCCCGACTACGTCGTGCCCAAGAAGAAAGCATATGGTGCCCATGCCGTCGAGGAAGCTTTCCATGGACCGACTGACGACGACGGCTTCCAAGATGTGGAGCTCTTTCTGACGGAGCATGGCTATGAAGATGCCTTCACTGCTCAGGATGATGGCTATGATCCTGAGGGTATTGATGAGGATGACGCCGCTGAGATCCTCGCCGCCACCTGGCGGGAGAAGAGAGCTGAGTTGAACATGGTTCAGAAGGGGCGTAAGTTCACCGCCTCAGATGGTCGAAGAGGACAGTTCGCTGGCAAAGACACCAAACGTTCCTTCCGGATCCAAGTGGAGCTCAAGCAGAGGACCCGTTGCCGCAAATGCGGCAAGATCGGCCATTGGCAACGTGAATGCAAGTCCACCGGGGCATCAACGTCTGGTGCCTCATCGCACGCGAGCCATGCTGCTGGAGCCGTGCAGGTGGTTGAGCAAGATGGTACAGAGCATTTCATTTGCACCGCTGCGACATGTGGTGATGTTGAAGTGATGTTGGTCAGCAGTCCAGGTTATGCCATTTTGGACAGCGGTTGCGGCAAGACCATCATTGGCCGTTCCACCTACGAGGCCTTCTGCCAGATCTGGAAGACTCACGGCATTCCGTGTCCCTCGGAGAGGGCCGAGAAGAACAGTTTCCGGTTCGGCAATGGTCAACAAGAAACCAGTACAGCTGCCGTGGACATGCCTGTCTATTTGGCCGGAAGGCCTGGCTACATCAAAGCAGCCATTGTGAAGGGGGCTGCACCCCTCCTGCTGTCGAGACCGGCGATGCAAAGGCTAGGTGCTCAGATTGACTTTGCCACCGATCAGCTGTCCCTGTTTTCTGGAAAGGTGAACATTCCGATGGAAATCAATCCAGCTGGACAGTATTCGATCCGCGTCACTGATTTTCCAGATGATGCCTCGAGCAAGTTTCCTGAGCCAATCCCGGCATCCGAAACGCCGGAGTCACCTTGCCTCTCGGTCGAATATAATCATCACATTAACAAGTGTAAAGATTATTGGGAATATCGGCCTCAGGATAGGACTGTGATTCGTCATCACCTCAAGCCAAGAACGCATCGATTCACTCCCTGTAACACACAATGTCCAGTCGAGGTGAGCCGTTTGCAGCATGTTCGAGTCACACAGGTCAATGACCCCACTTCCATAATCAGGGACCTTCAGGACGATTGGACTAATCCGATGGAAGCTCATGCACCTCATGATTCCAAACCATGGACTGGGAAAACGGTGTTTCGGCTTCTCGCCCATGTGTCGCCGCCGTCCATTCCTTCGACTGAGGAAGAACAGTTGCACATCATGCACTGGACGGCAAAACAACACCGTCAGTTGATGGCCCAGGTAAAGGCTCCGAGTCGAGACGATAGCGATCGTTACGACGTGATCGAAGTGTTCTCACCACCTCGTTTTGGCCTCGAGGGTTCCAAACTAGGTATGAGGGTTCTTTCCGCTGACTTATGCACTGGTTGGGACTTCAGGAAACGGACGGACCGGGAAGCTCTCATGCAGCACGTCCGTGTCAGTCGACCTAAGCTTTTGGTCTGTTGTCCGCCCTGCACCTGGGCAGGTGGTTGGTGGCATCTCAACCGTTTGCGCATGAGTCCGAATGAGGTCAGAACCAGGGAGTTTTGGACACAGTTGTTCATCAAATTCTGTCGTGAGCTCATGGAACTCCAGTACGAATTAGGAGGACAATGTTTGTTTGAGCATCCTAGAGACTCGATAGCCTGGAAATTACCGTCCATGGAAAAGCTCAGCAAGAAGATGCATATCATCTCGGTTGACATGTGTTGCTACGGCCTTCGCGTTCCAGGTGGTGATCTGATTCGCAAAGCCACCCGGCTGCTGGTCTCTCATGCAGAGATGAGAGCTTTGGCCAAGCAGTGTCCAGGATCCTCGCATGCTAGCCATCGAACACATCAGGTTGTAGCAGGACAACATGCCATGGTAGGATCCATAAGCAAGCATGCAGCCAAGTACACCCCAGCATTCGTGAAAGCCGTACTCAGACTCGTGCGAGGGTTGCCAGCGACGGACTGCTTGGTCCTCGTCGATGATAGTAGTACAGAGTGTCTGGTAGCACATACGCTGGCTGAGCTTAATGAAGAATCCGATGAAAAGGTTAAGACTAGTCTCAAGAGGTTACACCAAAATTTGGGTCATCCAACAAATCAACACATGCTCAGGATCTTGAAACATGGAGGTGCGTCTCAGACAGCCATCGATGCCGCCAGAGACTTCCATTGCGACCAATGTCTTGCGCAGAAGAGCCCAAAGGTAGCCCTGCCAGCACAACCACAGAGAGTGGTAGAGTTCAATGCCCTGGTTGGTGTTGATATCAAATACCTTCCTGGATGGGGGGTAAACCAAAGGATTCCCGCTGTGAACATCATAGATCATGCTAGTTCCCTGCAAATTGTCGTGCCTATCTTTCAAAGAGAGAACTCCCAGACCCTCAAAACGGTTTTCATGGAAAGGTGGGTCTCATGGGCCGGTATGCCGCAAGAGATTGTGTGCGATCCACATAAAGCGAACTTGGCAGATGCCTTTGCATCTATCTTGGAACAGGGTGGCGCCACGTTTAAGTTGATAGCGGCTGACGCCCATTGGCAATTAGGAAAGGTTGAGGTCCATGGAGGTTGGTTCGCACGGGTGCTCGAAAAAGTACTCTCCGAGCATGTACCAGCCAATCAAGAGCAATGGATAGATTGCGTCAATGCCGCCCATTGCAAGAACCAGCTGATCCAAGTGTACGGGATGACGCCATCCCAATTTGTGTTTGGCAAGAATCCTCGGATTCCTGAGAATCTGCTCGATGAGCCTCTTGATGTTGTGCCTGCAACCTCCTCCTTGTACGAAGAGGCTTTGGCAAAACAAGTGGCCATCCGGCAGTCCGCTCGGAAGGCCGTTCTGGACTTGCAAGATAGCAAATCACTTCGGTTGGCGCTTGCTGCTCGACCACGGACAAATCAATGGCATGAGCCAGGCACGTATGTTGCCTTCTGGCGTTCGCAGAAGTGGATTCATGGGTCTCTCGATAGAACCGGTCGATGGCATGGTCCTGCCGTGGTGCTGGGATATGTAGGTCGGAACGTAGTGCTCATCCATAAACGTCAGATCTTTAGGTGTGCTCCCGAGCAGGTTCGACCATCAACCCAAGACGAAAAGAAACTCGTCGAGACACCCCATATGGATTTGCTAGGGATAAAGCATCTGGTTGAATCCGGTAAGCTTGACAGTAAACAGTACATAGACCTTGTACCAGAGCAGTACCCTGGTCTGCCAGCAATGCCTTCCGGAGAGCCTGTGCCTGTCGATGAGCCATCATCGGTGTCAGATCGTGCGGAACATCGGGCAACCGACCCGTCTTCCGTGCGTCCGAGTGAGCCAAGGGTCAACAGTCAACCACCACCATTGTCTAGTGTGGGAGATAATCAAGTTCCTGTTGAGGATAAAGCCACCGATTATCAAGCAGAACCATATGCTCGAAGTGGTAGCACTAAAGGGATACCCGAACCTCCCAGGAACGCTGAGACCGTAGATCCCGAGACGGGATATGGCCCTGTTCGACCCGCTCGTAGACGCATCCCACAGAAGGATGGGCCCGCAGCTCTATACCGGCCGAGCCGTATGGCACAAGATGATTTCCAAGAAATGATGCAAGAAATCGTGCCGCAGTTGATCAACCGTGTCATGGGATCTGCTGAATCGACTCCATCCGGTTCGGAACCAGTCGAGCCAGAGTCCACCACAGAGCCACACAAGGGTCTCAAGCGACCGGCCGATGAGCCTGGCCCAGGTGATCAACCACCCGGTAAGAAACCTAGCCAAGACATGGATGAACTATATGTGCAAGAGGTAGGTCAGACCTATGTCAAGGACGAGGTAGCCATTTGTTCAGTTGAGTGCCTCAAGCAATACCACCATAGTTCCAAGAACCATGACCTGTCACTAGAAGACATAAATGACTTGGTAGACATGTATCAAAAAGGGGCATGCCATGAAGCACTAGTAGCAGCCTATGTCAAGAAGAAGGCTTCGAAAGAACTTCCCGTAATAGGAAATGCACCCGAGATTCAGATCAAGATCGATGAGGCCAAACTGTTGGAGTGGAACACCATTTTGGCAAAACATGCTGCTCGTCTAGTGTTGGGACCAGAAGCGGACAACGTTCGGCAACACCTGAGCCACCGGATCATGGGCAGTCGATATGTCATCACTGTCAAGCAAGAGGATGACAGTGCACCACGCATGAAAGCCCGTTGGTGCCTGCAGGGTCATTTGGACCCGGACCTCAGTGAAAAGGCCATGCATGGAGACTTGCAGAGTCCCACCCTCAGTCAAGTCGGCCGCAATATGCTGTTTCAACTGATAGCATCACATCATTGGAACATGGCCCTGGGGGATATAAAAGGAGCATTCCTAGCTGCAGGTAACCTTCCACAGAGATATCGTCCATTGTACGCCAGCTTACCCCGTGGGGGTATCCCCGGAGTTCCTGAAAATGCCTTGATTGAGATTTGTGGACATGTGTACGGGCTTAATGACTCTCCGGCCGCATGGTATAAGAAGCTCCATCACGAACTCATTCAAGTAGGCTTTGAACGGTCTCGTTTCGATTCGTGCCTGTTTTATTTCAGAGAACATGGGGTTTTGACTGGTGTTTACGGTGTCCATGTGGACGACTGTGTGACTGGGGGAAATGGACCAGGATATAACCAAGCCATTGACCGACTTCGCAAGACGTTTGAGTTTAGGAAATGGCGCTTAGGTTCAGGTGACTTTTGTGGTAGCCAATATGAACAAGACCCACAGACCTATGAAATCACCATGAATCAGGAACGGTTTTCCCAAAAGATTCGACCTCTCCACCTCAGTCGTGAAAGAGCTAGAAACAGAGATGCACCGTTAGATCCAAAGGAAATCAGCTGTTTGAGGGCGATCAACGGCAGTCTAAATTGGCTGGCTAATCAGTCGAGGCCAGATTTGGCCACTCAAGTGTCCTTTTCCCAGCAAGCGTTTCCGACACCGACTGTGGGAGACGCCATCGCTGCGAACCATGCAGTGAGGAGGGCCAAGCAGCATGCCGATCAGTCCATTCGCTTTTGCGCAATTCCACCTGAGAACCTTGGACTGATGTGTCACTCAGACGCTGCTTTCGCCAATGCTAAGGCTGGTGCGACTCAAGCAGGTTACATGGTGAGCTTTGTTCATGAACATGTCAATCAAGGAATGGATTGCCAGTGGTCCCCTGCCTTTTGGAAAAGCTCCAGGTTACCGAGGGTCGTCAGCTCCACTCTTAGTGCCGAGGCTCAAAGTATGTCAACCGCATCTAGCATGTTGGAATGGGCAAGCCTACTTATGTCAGAAGCTTTAGATGGTCCTAGATGGTCACATAGCTTGTGGGAGGGATTAGGCAACCGATTGATCATGTTGGTAACGGATTGCAAATCGCTGTATGATCATCTCACATCCCAATCATCGCCGACTCTCGATGATAGGAGAACAGCAATAGACATAGTGATTCTCCGTGACAGCATCCATAGGTTGAAGGCAAATCTGCGGTGGATTCCCACCAACCGCATGCTTGCCGACTCTCTCACCAAAGAGAGCCCGGAAGCTTTTGACCTGTTACGTGCCTGCCTTAGAAGTGCTAAGTACCAGATCAGCCCAGAAGAGCTTGTCCTGGAACGAAGAGCCCTTGAACGTGAGCGAAGAAAACAATTCGCTTCCAAGCCGACCAGTGATCCGAGCACCATAAGTCAAGGGCTAGAGCAAGAAGGATAATCCATAGAATACACAATCTAAGACAGTCTAGTCTCAAGGGTGAATGCGAGCATTCAAGAGTGTTGACTGTAGGGTGCATTGTGTTGGATTCTCAAATCGTCGGTACACCCACCTGTGAAAGCAGTTGATGTGCATGTTTTTTGTTGATGTCTTGTCAGGACGTGATAGAACATGTCTGGTAGAGGCCTCAAATTAAGTTAATATTTCAGACTACACCATGTGTCATCCACCGTGGTTGTGGATCCAGGATTCTCCAACCGGAGCGTGATAGCACCGGGCCGTTTGTTTGTGGCTTTCGATCAAGTGTCATGGCTATGACCAGCTCCAAGGACGCCTTCTCTCAGGCAGAGGCGGAGGAATGTCTCCACCTCATTCGGAAGGCTCGTAAGCACGGTGCTTTTGACAACATCATGCGCCGGGTTCGTGACCTCGAAGATGTAGAGCTGGATGAAGCTTGGCTTGGCACGCCAACCGGATCCATGACGGATGGCAGCAAGAGGCTTCGAGAGGATTCGTCAGTGAACCAAGTCGGAATGTATGTGAAGCAGACCACGCCATACTGTGCAGGCCAGCTCGTTCCGGCGCCACCTATGCCATCATCCTCAGACAAGCCGACTCCTCTGCCAACGACAGAAGGCCTGCCACCGGGAGTGGCCAATGTGACTCAGTGGGGCAAGACGCTCGTAGCACTTGGACGCTACAAGGGCCTCAAGTCGTACGATGAGATGTACGAAGCCACGGATTCAGAGATTGCTGGATATCGAGCGTACTGTCATTCACACTACCAGTCCGGCTCTCCTGGCCTTCGCGATTTGGTCGAGTACTTCCGAGCTCGAGGTGACGGATCCATGGGAAGTCAAAGCATCATCCCAGGGTCGAAGATCACTCGGACGTACAAAAATATTTAAGAGGAGTGTTGATCGTCAGTGGTCGCGACTGTGCAGGGACTCTCATGCCCGAATGGCGGAAAAGGCCGCGCGGGGCGCGGTGCGGGGCTGCCAATACATGTATATGGTGGTTGTCCAATATTCTTGTTTGTTGAAACGCCCATTCTTCGCAGCAAAAAAAAAAAAGAAAAACATTCGCGAAACTTTCTCGAACCCTGTGTGTTTCTTTCGCGGGGGTTCACCATCTCTTGACACCATTATATAAACCTTGTAGGGACTGGATTTCTAAATACAAGTGCACGGAGTGTTTTTGGTTCAGCAGGAGGATGCTACAGACAGGAAGCTGGTGTTGGAGCAAAATTTTGTTGGCACATGTTTTCCTACATGTCTATCCATGGTGCAGTGCTACCACTCAAGCCGAGGATGCCTATAGCTTCTTTGTGCGCTGTTCTACCATAATGAAAAAACAAGCTTTTCTTTATATAAATTTGTGGGATTGCTATGGGCTACGGGGTTCCTCTGGAGCCGGTTCATTCGCCGAAACCTTCGCCAGACTTTCGCGAAACTTTCGCAAAATCATCCCTGTGCTTTGGAGGTTTTTACGGCATACATAACATAGGGTGGACTACATGAAACAGGAAGGAAGCTTCACACGGATTCCAAATTTGAAGCTGCTGACGGTCAGGAAAGGATGGGCTACTTCTCAAGCCACAACTGCAAACATACAATAAAAAATCATGCACACTTTCGCGAATCTTTCGCGAAACAAAAATTAACATTCGCGAACTCGAAAAAAAAAACTTTCGCGAGATATGACATGCTATGACCACAACAGGGTCGACCCTGTGGGGAATTGATGGACTCGTCCGAAACCCAGGTTGGGCTTCGGCTTCGGATGTTCAAAGGATTTCTGGGGCATGAAATCCAAGAACATCGAGTTTTGAAAGACCAAACCAACCAACCAACCAACCAACCAAATCAAAAACAAACATCCCTTGTCGCGCCGTTGTCAGGGCTTCAAGCCGAGATCGAAGCAATCCCAAACGTCGCGCCGAGATCGATACCCGCGCTCTCTGTCCGCTCCGGTCGTCCCGGTCTCGAAGCACCGGTTGTCCCGGTCGCCCCAGCTGTCCGCCGAGCCGCGTGTGGTGACATTGCAAGAGGTCCGGTGGCAAAAGCGGTCCTCGACGCGGTCCGCGAGTCACGTCGTTGGGCACGACGGGGCAGAATGGGTCAAAGGGAGGGGTGAGGATGCGGCGCGGGGGGCGAGTGACCGTCCAGATGACTCATAGCTATTTATGATCTATGATGGATCTTCCAACAGTGCACCATTGATGTTTTTTCATCTAGAAGACCAGCCAAAACGCAGTAGTTTTGCATAATGGTTGGAAGACCTAGATATAAAGAGGCCTGCCGCCTTTTGACAGGCCAAAGGATAAATCATCCATGCTTCAAAACAAAAACCAAGAACCTCGCCTACCTGGACCCTCCTGTCGGGGTGTCCTGGCTGGACTACCCCACACTACCGGCTTCCAGACAGGGCACCCCGACAGGAGGGTCCTGGTGTAAGAACCTCGTGTTTTTGGAATGAAAAGATTTGATCAGTTCCCAGATGTTCCCAGTCTTTGTTCCAACCAGTCCCACATCGGTGAAGAGGGCAGTTTGACCTCTTTGCTCTCTGAATTCTTCACGTCCCTCCATCCTTGTCCTACCGATTTACCTTGCCTGCGGACACAATCCAAACCTGGAAAATTGGTTGTCCCAGCCACGTGCAGCCATGATCAGCGAAACTGTCCTTGTCCTATGCTGTGGAGTTGGGCTTTCTGTTTGCAGGTCCATAAAATGGCAACATCACATCCGAAACTTGGAGAACTCAAGACATGGCTCAAAGACATGGCTCACGCCGCCACTCATCGTCACACCTTCTCGTGTCACGCTGCCCGGATACCTGAAAGAACGCCCGACTGGACGTCCAGGTTCCGGACGTGCGGCATGCAAGAAACGTTGAGCCATTTAGCCATGACGTTGTCTAGTTGAGAAGGCTTTTGATCAAGCTCTGAGAGAAAGGGTTGGTGTGACATGGTGTGTTATCACTCCCAGGGTTTGTCGTATTGTAGTCGAACGCTTTCGTGCTTGGCTTTCTCATGTGGCGCCACTGTTGCTTGAAGCTACAGTGACGCCCTACCTTCCCTTCGTCTCTAACAGTCTGCTCTCAGCTGCATGGGCAATTCCTCGTTGCGCAGGAAGTGCACCGGCAAGATGGGCAGCGGATAGGTCTCAGAGCCTTCCCGCTTCCTGAGCAGAAGCAGTTTAGACGGCGCGTCCAGCGGAATGGGTCCCCGAAGAGAAACGAAGCAACATGCTGCTCATCGGTATGTTGTCGTAGAGCAGCACATGAGAGAAGACATCTTTGGGATAACCCATCTCCCATCCAGTGATAGCAACCGAACCCATGGTATCTCATGATGCTCGTACTGCGGAGAGCCTTGGGAGTTGGAGGTTCTAGGCACCGAGAGCCGTGGCCCATCGTGGCCCTGTTTGCATCGGCCTCTGTCAGCTCCCACTGCAACCCGTGTCCGCTCCAATGGTTGACATGAACGAGAAAGCCTGTATGCGTTGTCTCCTAGCTGAAGAAGGTATGGATAACACTTAAGAATGAAAAACAAGCACCAGCAGACACCCAACGAGCCCAAGCTGACGGCATTGAAAGGCTGAACATCAAGAGAATCGATGTGCAGATGAGGCAACGTGAGATGGTCTCGGATGCAGAAAACGTAGGATTTGCAGGGTAGGATTTGCAGGGTGAGGCGACACGTTCTATGTTTGGGGTCAAATGGGTGAGAATCACCTGCAAACCCAGTCCTGGATGGATCTGTCTCCGTCCCACGCACTCCCGTAAAGGATGTCAAGCTGGCGCCATCCGTCAGGGTACCAACTTTAAACCTGGTTTCTGGTGTTCTTGGTGGGAAAAAAAACCAGGCGTCCAGACCCCGCAATCTCAAAGCCCTGCATCGCCAACTGAAAGAGCCGATCAACACCAGGCGCCACGAACTGGTCACTGTCCAATTGCACGCCTGGCGCCACGAAGTACGAGGTCCGCGCCCTCTCCGTCGCTCCGTCACGAAGGCGGGTTTCCTTCACCCGGTGCACCCGTCGTGTGAATTCCATGAATTTCATGTGTCTATTGGTGAAGCCTCTCTTTTTTTATAGTCCACCAACGAACCTGGCTTTTCTCAGCCAAACAAAATCACACAAACACCTACTGTAAGTTGTCTTTTTGTCAGCTAACTTTTGTGTGTGTCATTTCTTTCGAACATCAAGTCAACAGCGACATGATGTTCACCAGAGCCAACGACCTGTGGCTCGAGCTTCGAAAAACGGGCCTGCTTTGACCCTGGCGATCAAGAAGGATCGATACTTGTTCAGATCGAAGCGCCGGAAGACCTTCGCATCGATCAAAAGTGGACCGACGGAGACCGGTGAACTGGGTTTATCGGGCGCGGAAATCAGACTCATCGTTCTTGGGAGCTGACCTGAATTAAGTGTGGAAACACGCTTCTTAGATAGATCGTCTTACAGATAGGGATGAAGTGATGAACTTGTTAGACATTAAAACCCTCAAGTGCTTCTTCTTCATGATCTTTTCATGTTGGACCCTTCTTTCATCAGCTCACTTTTCATGTGGAGGCCATCGCAGCATCGTCGGCCATCGCAGCATCGTCGCACCTCTGTGGGAAAGGGCGCTGCGTGCAAGACCACCAGCCATGGATACCTCAGACGGACCCGTTTACGACCGGCTCGACGACCGGCTTGGCAGGTGACTTGGTAGATCAAGCGACTTGGCTTCCACAGTTGATGTTGTCGACCTTCCAACCAACTGTGAGAGGCACCGAGAGGTATTAAGCAGTTCGTCCACCAGAAGCTGAGGTCAAAGCAGCCAAAGTGACGGAGGTGTTCAGCCAAAGTGCCGGTGTGAAGAAAGCAAGGGAAGCCACGGGGTATCACGGGGTCCATTGAGTCCATTTCTTCAGTCCATGAAATACAAAAAAACCTAGCCGTGCTCCACAAACTATATCCTCCGGCACTCGAAGGGAGCTTGAGCTTGTTGCTCTATCTAGTACTCTTCTGTTCCTCAGATCAACCAAGACTTTCCACAGCCGCGCGAAGGCCGCGCGGCTTTCGCGCCGCTTCCGCCCCGCACCAGCCGAACTAAGGCCGCGGCTGTTGGGGGTCCCATTCGTCCGGCGTGAGCATTCCGAAGTGCACCACCACCACAGGCCGTTCCTTCGGTGAGGAAGGCGAATCGGTCGCGAACGGAGGGGCATCGCGGCATCGAACGGAGCGTTCGGACGCGACGAACGGGGCGAAACTGGGCATCACTACTATAGTAGCATTCTTGCTACGGTCGGAACAAGAAGCTACTAGTTCCTTCCATTGCGCTGAACGGCTTGTGGGATTTCCGGTGGGCGGACCCCCGCGGCCGTCTGGGGGGGAAGACACCCCGCGCGGGCAGGAGAAAGCCCGGCGGTCGGGAGATTTGCGGGTGAACTCGAACTGCTCGAACTGCTCGAACTCGAGTTTGAGGTGAGATACGGTGAAAGGTTCAGTCCAAGTGTTAATGTCACAGGTTGTGGTTCCGGAACCAGGATGACGCCAACGTGCAACCTTTCCACACATATTATCATATATTATTACACTGCACCTTTATCATTCAAAAGAAAAGCACCTTTTCCGGTGGACCCCTGAGAAAACGGACGGACCCTCGGAGGTTCTCCCGGTTCGGACCGAGCGACCGAGAAGAGGTGGACCGAGCGGATGAGCTGCTCGTTGATCAACGCCCACTTGGAGCCGCCCGGCGCCGGACCGATGAAGTTCACGAAGGCCTCCTCCAGCGTGTCACACAGGGGCGGAGACCGGGAGTGGGAGAAGCGTGGAGACAGGGCGGCGCGGGAGTCACCGAGCGAAGTGGAAAGAATGGTCCACTGGCATGCAGGATCTTGTAGAAGTGGGTATTTTGATCATGTTTAATGCGCACATAGGATTAAGTAACCACCCCCTATTAATCAATCCCAGCTCGACCCCCCAATACTAAACTAATTTAAAACCTAGATGTCCACCTTGGCATCACCCTAATAATTGTTTCCTAGGCAAAAACCTCCCCCTATTAATCAATCCCAGCTGCCCCAAAAACAATAGTTTACTATTGTATTTATGATTTCTTTTTTTGCTAGGATTCAATATCTTCATCTCCTCATCTTCCTGATTCCCACCACCACCTCTCAACTGCCTCATCCTGCTCACCAATCGTTTTGATGGCTTCTCATGGCACAGAATCCCATCAACCATCATCCATCATCAGGTCCAGGTCCTCATCTCATCATCCATCATCAGGTAATCATCTTTATTAAGGGGATGTGGTCCTCAAATACCTCCGACCTCAGACCTTGTTGACCTTGTTGACCTTGAAGGGGGGGGTCCCCGTTTATTAATCCTACGTCGACATAAAAGAAATGAGAGGGGGTACAGGGCTGTGTGTGGCTGTGTGGAGATTTTGCATCATTCAACTCTAGTCGAACCAACAGATCCAAACTCAACCTTCAGCATCACAGCCCGGGGCCATGTCCCCTGCCTCCAACCAGCCGTGCTTGTATAGCTTCCTCAGTGGTCGGTGGTCGGGTTTCTGGTCCTTTCCACCAACCCCAAACCGCCCGAACTGCTGCGCGGTGCCCCAACCGAACTCCCTCGAACCGGCCGGATTTCGGGGCATGCCAAGTCATCCTCCTGCCTCATTGGCTCCGCAAGAAGCTGCGTAACCAATTGAATCCTCATTCTGTGGGTCCACCAGGCATGTCGACATGAAACCTCTGTTTGCCATGTGCTGGGCAAAGCTGGCTACAGTAGGTCCAAGTGGCGAATGGGTCTATTTGCGGTGCATCTAGGACCAAAATCCACCTTCACCACCTCCAGTCGTCCCATCTCGTGCGCTTCGGTTCCATCGCTTTTGCGCCGAACCTTGGGTGAATGGACCCGAACCGGTTTGCCGAACCGGTTCCGAACTCCAACCCCATCTCGGGACTCCTTCCATCCACCTTCACCGCACGCGAGCCACGCGTCTGGTAGTTCGCTTCGAAGCCCTCGCTGATCCACGCCGCCAGCATCTGCCGCAGCTCGCGGGACGTCAACGCCTCGGGCCCTCGCGGGGGCGACGTCGGCTCCGCGCAAAGGCCTGGCGCCGGTGGGCCGGGTCGTGTCGTCGTCCGTCGTGGAGAAGTCGGATCGTGTCACTGTGAACTCTCTAGACTCTAGAATTTCTGTTGTTGCCCCTTGTTTTGCATGTGATTTTCTGTGTTTTGTTTTCGGTGTTCTTTCTTTCTTCCCCAATGGTTCTTCTGCCCATTTTTCTCCCGTTTCTTTTTGAAAGTGTTATGCTTCGTTGTTTTTGTAGTTGCTCTGCTTCCTCTGATACTAGATACTGGGCGCTGGTATGATGGGATTTCAAAACCTCCGGGGTATCTTGGAAAGTGGCACCTCCTTCCAAGCTGAGTGTAGTGGATCTTGTTGGTGGATGAAACTCGCATGGGCTGGTTGAAGATCCAAAAACTGAGATTTCGGCGTGTCTTGCAGCGAGTTCTTGAGCAGAAGCCTTCGCTTCTCTTCGATTTCGGATGTCCCAAACACGGACGGCCCCCCTTCCGGCCACGGCCTTCCTTCCCGTCCGCTGTTTGACGTATTGGTTCGCCTTCCACGGCCCTCCACTGCTCTCGATCCCACGGGGTTCTGCGTTTCGAGGTCTCAAAGGTCTCGCAGGAGATCACCGGCGCAGTCACTTCCCCTCGGGTCGGCGCTCGGCTTCGACATGCTGAAACCCACCACGACCGAGACGTGGTGCGAGTGGCACGGGTGGGTTGCCACTAACCAGCAGAGGTTGAAGAACCCGAACTAGACTATCCTATAGGTACCCTGTAGGGTCCTATAAGGTCACTTAACCTCTGTAGGAAGATTGCCTTCTACGAATAGCGAATTGGTCCTCATCTGTGGTGAAGGACCAATCCATGCGTGAAGATTGAAGATGAACGTTAAACATGTTACATCATGTTACACACTAAGTCAGCAGATTTGGAAGGAGCTGCTTCAGGAGGTTGAACGGCGATTGGAGAAATGAACACGGTGAACACTTCCTCCTTGGGCTGCATGGCAGGACTTCATGATCACAAGCTGCCAGGACTGCCAGGACCCAAACCAGTCCAAACCTGGAAACTCAAAGAACTACAAACAAAGAACTATGTTCCAATATGGCCCTTGAAATCCTTTACATCGAGCTCGTGGCTGTGCAGGAGGAAGACAAAAAAGCATCGAGCTCGTGACGACCCGGATTGGTCCAGCTCCTCCATCACAAGGTCCCCCGGGACATCGATGCTTCCCACAAAAACCTCGTGAAACAATACCTGAGAGGAATATTAGCTTATTGACATCAGGTAACATCTATTAACTTATTAACATCTAAAAACATGCTTGCAAAGCCTTTTTCTCTCCAGACAGTGTCCACACCCATCCACTCTCCTGTCTCCCCTCCATCCACTCTGCGCGCCCAGCGTCTCCTGAGCGAAGGGTTCACTTTCCGGTAGAGCGCCGACTGGGGATCCAGTTCGCACTCGCAGTGCTTTCCCGCATCCCCTGGCGCAGGGTCTCCTGTGGCGGCAGCTACGTGGTTTTTGGGAGGGGGGCACCCGAACAACAACCTCTATAGAACCTCTAAGATGGGTCTTTTTGGACACCCCCAAACCGTGCGCTCTGAAAAAGAAAAGGATTTGATCTGCCTCACAAAAAAGAATTACAAAATCCCGTTCTCCGTGGAAAACGAGAAGAAAAAAGCACGTCTCATCCTCGCTTCGAAGGACCGGATCCATCAGTCGACCGATCCCAACGGCGGCCACCGAAGCTCCGCAGGTTCCAGGCAGGCAGCAGGCAGTGTCCCCATCTCAAACCAAGAAGGCTGCCAGGGTGTTGGTGTTTTTGGTCCTCCCTTCCCCAAAAAGAATTGATAGAGAAAGCGCTGACAACCAAGCGATTTCAGCATGTCTGATCTAAGGATCTAAAGATCCTGATCTGCAGTTGGCAAGTTGAGGAGTAGAATCCAATGAGTTTGAAAGGGAAAAGCTTGTAGGAACACAGGAACACAGCCGCCCAGTCCTAGATCAGTGTTGCAGCCCAAAGGCTTCTTTTGCATTGGGAAGATCTTCCATCGATTCCTTGGCAGGTGCTTTTTCACCTCCAAAAGATGGAGTTCGTGTGCTCAAACCGTTTTGAATTTGGCCAAGACAAGGTTCAACTCCGGTTGTCATCGAACAATGGCTCTGGATGTTGGCCATTGTTGGCCAATGGCAGCCAGCAAATCTGACTTATTCAAGAGTTGTTTTCCAAGTAGAGAACAATGCAAGTTCGAACGCATCTGCATGTTTAAGCTCTTGCAGCCTTACAGCCTTGCCCTTTAAAGATAAGAGATCGTTCAATCGCTCAGACCCTCGTCTTTGAAGACTACCGCAGTCTCGGCAGCACCGACGAAACCACATGCCGAGCGTCTTGTTGCCCCAACGGATCCTCCCTGGGCAATCGCAAAGCCTCGACTGGTCCCCAATCGAGTCGGACGCGCCGGTCGTCATGGCGAGGGTCAGTGACTGGCTGAAGCGGAGAAGTGTGGCTTCGAAGGAGGTCTGGGAGGTCGATAACTGGAGAGGGGAGATTCCAGTAGCAAGGATGCTACTATAGTAACAAGTGCGTCGCTACTAGTAACAAAAAGCTACCAGTATCAAGCAGTGGAGGGGAGCTTTCCTTGTAGGTGGAAATAGACAGGGCCTCCTAGGCCTCAATGGATTTCATGTGGATGCTGGGACCGAGTCACCATGTCTGAGTGGCCAAAAAGAGTGCTGTTGCCAATCAGATCTCATGTTCTGCTCCAATTTCTACTAGTCACTATATGAGCTGCAGGTGTTGCAATTCCTTAGGTCCTGGTTGGAATGAACATATCTATGTAAATAATTGAAGTACAAAACAGTTCCTCTCTACTGTACAGAATGCTTGATTGCAGCTTACTTCCCCTCTCATATAGACATGGGAACACGTTCGAACGGAATCTATTTCGAGCGAACCTTGGACACTCGGTTGGGAGAGGTTCTACCATCGCTACAAAAAGCGATGGTCCAAGTCCTTCTCTCCAAGTCGTCAACGCTCGCAAAACCTGGTCGCAGTTCTCCCAAAGTGTCCAAGCTCTTCTAGCTAGGCAGGCCATGGCAGGCCTCAGAATTACTGGTCAAAGTGGATGACATCACACACCCACCTCACCCACCATGCAGTCTGAGGCGCATGAACTGCGATGCGCAATAGATCCACTCCATGTTAGAGTTCGAGCGATCGCTTTTCCTCGACTGGTCAACCTCGCACTCGCAAATCTTGGAGATGTCTCCTCGAAAGGTGCTCAAAGCTCCAGCAAAACAGCCTCCCGAGTCATGCCGGAAAAACATATCATTACAGGATCAAGAACTGGCCCCAGCTTGATTGGTCATGATTGGTCATCATTCTTGAAAAACCAGTGCAGGATCACTCGAAGATGCTACGAATTCGACGAACCATCTTCCCTTCTCACCTTTCCGAGGCGTTCGGAACCCGATCGACCCCCCAAAGCATCGCCCTCCCCCCACCGGTCGCGTTCCGAAATGCTCGGCGTTCCGGTACCGGTCGGGTTCGTCCTGGCGCGGGATCTCCCAAGGTCTCAAAGTTGCAGGGCCAGGTGCCATCCTGCTCGACGCTGCGCCGGTGCGCGCCGAGAAGGAAAGGCCGTTCTTCGTCCAAGGGTGTTCAAGGTGGGTTGGGCACTTATAGCTTTGGTATCCAAACCTAAACCTAAGGGCCTAGGACCTATTCACAAACAATATAGTGAACCATTCCGGGACCCTTTTTGTTCAATCAAAAGCTGTTCTAAAGCTGTTATGGTGCCACGCCGCGCCCCGTCGCCCTCCTCCCGGGGCTCGAAGGTTCGGAACTGTTTCCGAGTGCCCCAGCGCAGTCGGCCCTGATGGGAGTGGAGCGCCGGGAGTGCCGTCACTGCGCCAGTGTGGAAGGTGGCTGTCATCCAACAAATAAAAACTACTAAGAGAGCAGGGAGAAGGAGGGAAGAGAGCATGCTTTCTCATCCTGCAGCTGGGTTTCATATACGAGTGCACGTATATGCTAAAGGCCGGACCGACGTGCGCGCAAAAGAAAGGCGTGAGATGACCAGACATGAAAGGGAGAAGACATGAAAAGAAGAAGGAAAAGAAGAAGGAGTGTGTGTGTGTGTGTGTGAGGGGGAAGGATGAAAGGGGAACCAAATGGAGAGGCCGGAAAAGAACGAAGCCAAGCCTCATTCAAGCAGACCTGGGAAAGCCTAGCCTAGTTTCGGAATGTATACGCTGTATGTGCACCTAAGGTTATGAGTGAACTACAGCCGCTGTGGCCTATACTCAGTAAACTTAGTAAACCATGATCCTAAGAATCCAGGGAGTATGGAGCCTAAAAGATGTAAGTGGAGGGGCATCCAACCAAAAGAACCAACATCTCGAAATGCAAAGTCTCAAAGTGCTACTCGAACGGCTCGAGCGATCGACGGCACGTGCAGAGTCTGCCGACCTACCTCCACATAACCAGCCTGAAGTCTAGAGGAGAACATGGTTACCAAACGCCACACACTTCAGCAGGTACACGGAGGTGATCAATCTCCGCTTTCCTCATCGTGGAATAGCTCGTTGGCACAGGTATCCACGGTGAGCCTGTGCCCCCTGCTAAAATCATAAGATTCCCTGTGACTCAGAGGGGCCGTCGATCGCAAGCCTCTTACAGTTGCGATGGATCAAACACTGTTACATCAAAGCCTTGCATTGGCAAAAACACTCAAGACTACACGGCCACTATTGCTCCACTGGGACTTCATGTCTGTAATAAAGAAAAGTTCGACACTACCGCGCCTCACAGCTACAAACCTCCCCTTGAGCTGCACAGAACTCCCAAGATCTCGTGGCATTCGCCCGTGCCGCCGCGGCCGTGGTCGCCGCCGCGGCCGTG